GGACAGGTGGTGGTGAAGGCGTGCTGTAGGGCAGGTGGTGGTGAAGGCGTGCTGTAGGGCAGGTGGTGGTGAAGGCGTGGTGTAGGACAGGTGGTGGTAGTAGTAAGTCATTTCAAGAGCAACATCTAGTCACTACACTAAAATCAAACACTCAAGGGGCTGAATAATAACTAATATAATTTCGAGAAATTAAAAAAAAAAAAAAATTGAAACGTACGTGAGAGAGAGAGAGATGCACTAAGGTGCCAGTGTGCTCAACATTCTTCAGGGGGAGAGAACTTAAGGTCACTCGAAATTTCACAAGCCTTAACTAGGAGACATTTTAGTTTTTCCTCATATAAGAGGAATTCAGTGTACGTTGACGCACTAATGCGTGTTGGCGCCACGTTGACACACTAATGCGTGCTGGTGTCAGTGACACACTAATGCGTGCTGGTGTCAGTGACACACACACTAATGCGTGCTGGTGTCAGTGACACACACACTAATGCGTGCTGGTGTCAGTGACACACACACTAATGCGTGCTGGTGTCAGTGACACACACACACTAATGCGTGCTGGTGTCAGTGACACACACACTAATGCGTGCTGGTGTCAGTGACACACACACACTAATGCGTGCTGGTGTCAGTGACACACACACACTAATGCGTGCTGGTGTCAGTGATACACACACACTAATGCGTGCTGGTGTCACAGTGACACACTAATGCGTGCTGGTGTCACAGTGACACACTAATGCGTGCTGGTGTCACAGTGACACACTAATGCGTGCTGGTGTCACAGTGACACACTAATGCGTGCTGGTGTCACAGTGACACACTAATGCGTGCTGGTGTCACAGTGACACACTAATGCGTGCTGGTGTCACAGTGACACACTAATGCGTGCTGGTGCCACAGTGACACACACTAATGCGTGCTGGTGTCACAGTGACACACACTAATGCGTGCTGGTGTCAGTGACACACTAATGCGTGCTGGTGTCACAGTGACACACTAATGCGTGCTGGTGCCACAGTGACACACTAATGCGTGCTGGTGCCACAGTGACACACTAATGCGTGCTGGTGCCACAGTGACACACTAATGCGTGCTGGTGTCACAGTGACACACTAATGCGTGCTGGTGCCACAGTGACACACTAATGCGTGCTGGTGTCACAGTGACACACTAATGCGTGCTGGTGTCACAGTGACACACTAATGCGTGCTGGTGTCACAGTGACACACATAATGCGTGCTGGTGCACAGTGACACTACTAATGCGTGCTGGTGCCACAGTGACACACTAATGCGTCTGGTGCCACGACACACATAATCGTGCTGGTGCCATAGTGACACACACTAATGCGTGCTGGTGCACAGTGACACACACTAATGCGTGCTGGTGCCACAGTGACACACACTAATGCGTGCTGGTGCCACAGTGACACACACTAATGCGTGCTGGTGCCACAGTGACACACACTAATGCGTGCTGGTGTCACATTTGTGAACAAGCTCAGAAAGCAATTTCACATTCCATACTAATTTCGTCGCATTAATATTTCAGCAAGAGAGAAAAAAAGAGGGAGAAGGGGGGAGGGAAGGAGGGAGGGGAAGGGAAAGGGGGAGGTGATGGGGAGGGGAAGGGGGAGGGGTGGCAGGATTGTGGTGAGGGAAGGTAAAAGAGGAAGAGGTGGAATAGGCATACGAGGAAGATGAGGTAGGGAAGGTGGAGGTGGATCATTGTTTAGAGGGAACTGTGACCCTGCAAAGGTTGGAGTTTACGTTGGTACTGGCGAAAGGCTCTAGATCCAAGGAACTGCAGCTACCCTTTTGGAACAAACCTGATTATGTTTGTAATATATCTGTTTAGCTTCGTTAACTCGACTCGGACAGTCACCAATGCTCACATCTTTGTCCTTTACCTTCTCTTACTGGGTGAAGGATCGAAAGTTAAGACACTTGTGCAACATCTGGTTATCTTTATTGTAGACGTTTCGCCATCCAGTGGCTTTATCAATACAGATTCTTGGACATAATAAGAAATCAGAACTATATACAAAAGATGAGGTAATCAGTCCCTCAACCTTGGAGGTGAAGGATCGTATATTATGACTCTCAAAACCATAATAACACAAATGTGTTTTAAGACTCTTTTGTCAGTTTCAATCCCTCACTAGTTTCCTGGTTTGATCGCATATTACTGCCGCTGTTACTATTCCTCTCTGGACACAAGTACATGAAATTCTCTTCCATCTTTCTTGCTCCTAAATTATCCTCAGCAGTTCCTCTACCATCTTTGCCCAGCACTCAGAGACAAGTTCCCTTTGATCACATTTCTCTGTTCATAAGTCTGTTACATGTTCCTGCAGCATATTCTCCTTCCCCCTCACTGTCATCTCCTGTCAAGTGTAGAATTTAAACCTCTCTAAAACCAAAAATTCCTTTATATTGTGTTGCTAATGATGTAGTTTGCTCTGAGGTGAAGCATTGAGTGGCGTTGATGAATAAAAGTTGTTCTGAAAGTGGTGTATGTGTTACATATATATATATATATATATATATATATATATATATATATATATATATATATATATATATATATATATATATATATATATATATAATGCAGTAAGATCACAGTAAACAGGTGATTTCAAAATATGCAAAACAACCACTCTGAAAGAATAGAGAAATTCCAAGCGCTTTCGTGACTACTCACATTATCAAGGATAATGATAATGTGAGTAATCACGAAAGCGCTTGGAATTTCTCTATTCTTTCAGAGTGGTTGTTTTGCATATATATATATATAATATATATATATATATATATATATATATATATATATATATATATATATATATATATATATATATATATATATATATATAAAATCTCAGAATCTATGCCCCTCGCCCTTCAACACTCTGAAAAAACTCAGGCGCTCAAGTTTCCCCATTGAGCTCTGCAGAACAAAACAATATCAACTGAGCTAATAAAAAAAAAGAAAGTGTGTTTTGATTTATTTTTGTGGCTGGGGTATTTTTATTTTTTTTTGTTATCGGGAACGTAAAGCATTATGAAAAGCGGTAGACCCGTATGGAGAAATTCAGCGCCAGGAGTGTCGGAGGCTCGATCCTCCGTCCGCGGGTCGTGTTGATGAAGGGTTGGTTACCAACCCGTCACAGTAACGAAGTCTGTCTTCGCGAGAAGTTTACGGGGGGAGGGGGGACTGTCAACAGGAAGGGGGGACCCCTGACAACAGGAAGGGGGGTTGGCCCCTGACAACAGGAAGGGGGGGTTGGCCCCTGACAACAGGAAGGGGGGTTGGCCCCTGACAACAGGAAGGGGGGTTGGCCCCTGACCACAGGAAGGGGGGGTTGGCCCCTGACAACAGGAAGGGGGGTTGGCCCCTGACCACAGGAAGGGGGGTTGGCCCCTGACCACAGGAGGGGAAGCTGGCCCCTGACCACAGGAGGGGAAGCTGGCCCCTGACCACAGGAGGGGAAGCTGACCCCTGACCACAGGAGGGGAAGCTGACCCCTGACCACAAGAGGGGAAGCTGACCCCTGACCACAGGAGGGGAAGCTGACCCCTGACTACAGGAGGGGGGTTGACCCCTGACTACAGGAGGGGGGGTTGACCCCTGACTACAGGAGGGGGGGTTGACCCCTGACTACAGGAGGGGGGGTTGACCCCTGACTACAGGAGGGGGGGTTGACCCCTGACCACAGGAGGGGGGTTTGACCCCTGACCACAGGAGGGGGGTTTGATCCCTGACCACAGGAGGGGGGTTTGACCCCTGACCACAGGAGGGGGGTTTGACCCCTGACCTCAGGAGGGGGAGGGTTGACCCCTGACCTCAGGAGGGGAGGGGTTGACCCCTGACCACAGGAGGGGAGGGGTTGACCCCTGACCACAGGAGGGAAGGGGT